TGTGTGTGTGTGTGTGTGTGTGTGTGTGTGTGTGTGCCCTATCTTTCTTTCTTTCTTAGGGCCACATGTCCTAGCCGATTCTCCTCTGTCCTTCTCAAACCCGGCCACTGTCCGTTTCTCGGTCCTTACTTAGGTCGTCTGGATCCCTGGACCCCACACCATACCCCGCCCACTCTCTCACACTCCTAAAAATCCCCTTTTCTCCACTTTCTCTCCTTTAGGCTGCTGTAAACCTCTTCTACAAACTTTTTAGGGCGAGTCCAGAACTCTCATTACTGTCTCACAAGTCACCCCCCCCCCCAAGAAACCCAGCCAGAAAGCACCGGGGCTAGGGGTGGGGTCAGCGAGGAAAGGAGTTGGGGCGTTAGGATGGAGCTGAGGAAAGGGGAGGATTGGCTTGCAGAAATTCTGAGGGTCGCCAAAGAAAGAGGTGTTCTTACCTTCACGAACAGTTCGACCTGAGGTTGTTCTTCAGCCATGGTTGCGTCGGGGACCAGGAAGCAGCCGTCGCTGGGGGAACTGGGAGGGGCCGGGACCAGGGAAGGCGGGTCTCACCAGTCGGGGATCCTTTCCTCCAGACTCAGGGCTGTCCCTTCGGCGCAACCCAAGTCCGATCAGATCCTTTCCTTTGCTCCGACGCGGCTTCCCACCGGCCCGGTGCACCCCACACCCTGCTTCTAACCACCTCGGGTCCCTCCCGTTTAGCTCAGGGAGCAGCTGACTCACCGGCCGGCCCCGCCCTGAGCCTGGGGAGGGGACCGGGAAGGGAGGGACTCGAGAATCGTGGAGTGGGTCGGGGACACAGGAGGGGGAGGGACTCGAGGGTCGTGGGAGTGGGTCGGGGACAGAGGGGGAGGAACTCGAGGGTCGTGGGAGTGGGTCGGGGGCAGGACAGGGAGGGGCTTGTGGGTCGGGGACACGAGAGGGAGGGACTCGAGGGTTATAGGAATGGGTCGGGGACATAGACATAGGCCTCCGGGACCACCAGGATAAGGTAGGGTGTTAGGAGGGAGGCCGGGGGCCCCCTGATCCTCTGACCTCTCTTGAACACAGCACCTTTTTCGTGCCTCAGTTTCCTCGCTTCATTAATGAGAAGGGTGGCCCACTCTCCCACAGGGAAACTTGACACTGGCGAACTGCCCACGAAGGTGCAGAAATGGAGTTTGAGGATGTGAGGGAGTTCTTTTTAGTTCCAGCCTGTCTTCTGGTTTGCTAGGACTCTGCTCTGTGTGTGCACGCGCGTGTGCAGGCCTGTGTGATATGGAAAAAGATAACTGAGGTTGGGAATGTAGATTGGTGAAAGGCGTGGGCTGGGAAAGACCCAGCCAGAGGCCCAACTCGAGGGAAACAGGAAGCTGAGCCAGGGCTTCGCCGCAGAGGGCGGTCCTCTGGATGCCTGTCAATGCTTAGACTTCCCCATCCCGGGCCCCTTACCCTCCTCTCGCTGGTAAAGGTTGCCTTGGAGACGGGGTGATCCTGGCACTAGGATAACGCTGTGGCTCATCCTGGGATGGGTGGGGTATCGGCTTGTTCTGTCGCGAGAAGAAAACAAAGGTCAGACAGATCAGTGTGAGTGGCGTCCTGGGGGATATCTAAGTAACATAGGCAGACAGAAGAAAAGTAACTCTGGCAGACTTGATTTTGGAGCTGCTATCTAACTTTACTACCTATTTTTTTTTTAATCTAAACTATGTCTGCCAATATTCCAGCCTCTCTGCTCTGAGTTTCTCTACTGTCCAGCCATCCTTTTTCTTTTCTACTCACTGTCTATTCAAAAACTATCTTCATCTGGAGAAAAGCATTTTGGACGGGAAAGACCTAGAAGCAAAACTGGGCTGGACGCTGGAAGAGACTGGGGGGGGGGGGTGAGAGGGGCATCTGTTGCTGGAAACCAGCAGTTAGTGGTTTCCCCTGGCTTCTTCTCAGGGTCTTTCTCCTCCCCCTCCTCCCCAGAGAAGGCATTTCTCTCTCCTCCCCAGAAAGGCAGAAGATACTTAGTATTTGGTCCTTAGAAGTACAACATCCCAGAAAGATATAGACTGACTCCACGAGTGAGTGAGTGCATTCCCATCATGTTGACCCCCAGAATCTGCACAGGGACTGGGAAAGGTGGTTTCAGAGAAGCCTCTGTCCCAGACTCTTCCCTTTTCCCCACTTGGTCAGTGACCACCAGGCATCGGCCCAGCAGAGCTCTCCACGGGAGAAGCTATAGTTAGTCTCAAACAGGTTTGACAGCCTCGCCCCTGCCTGCCTTTATAGCCACAGCTGCCCTGATCACCAATATTGACTGCGGCTGCCTGGATTGCTACCCTCGAGTTATCTTGCCTTTATTTTCAGGCTGCCCTCTCTTGGGACCACCCAGGGGTGCCTCCTGGATTTGAAGCCGGGACTGCAGCAGAAATATTCTTGCTCCCATCCCATCTCATCTCTGTGTCCCTTTTCTCTTTCACCAACTTCTCTTTCTGTGATCAATGCCTTCCTTGTCCCTAATCTCTTCACACCCCAGATTGGAAGGTGTGTCCCTCCCTGCCACTCCTCAGCGCTGTCACCAATCTCCTCCAGGTTTCTATAGCTCCACTGCACAACAGTTTACCACGGGTAACCATTAACCCAGCCCTTAACTCTGCTCCTACCTTCCCCTGTGGAGAGGATTTGCCAGTCACTGACCGGCAGAGCCAGGTCACCTCACACCATCTCTCTGGACCTCAGGCAGGATCTTCTCATTTCAGGATAGCTGGGACAGTTTTTAAATTATCTGTTTATATTGTGTGTGTGTATGCAAGGGCACAAGCCACAGGTGTGGAGGTCAGAGGACAATTTGGGAATCCGTTTTCTCCTACCGTGTGAGTCCTGGGGCTGGATCTTCCCCATGGGCCAGCCTTGAAGGCTTCCTTCTCCTCCTTCCTTCCCATGCAGCCCTATCATCGAGGAATCATGATGCCCAGTCTCCTTAGGGGTGAGTGGGCTGTGGTAAGGGGTGTATGTGATGTAATTAGGTCAACTTTCAGGGTGAAGTGCATTCAGACACTTGCACTTCCTCTTCAGAGGTCCAGAAATAACCAGGCCCTGTGGTGCTCTTGCGGGGGTGGTCATTCCCCTGCATTCAGGGTACATTCTGCCGGAACAGGCGAAGTCTGACTGAAGTGAGAGCTGGTTCTTACTTCCGCTTATTTATTTAAAACACTCAAGTAGCGCTTCCTTTGTTGGCTAGACACTGTTCTGAGTTCTTTATAAATATTAACTTGGTGGGTACAAATATTAACAGAGTTGTGGCTGCTGGCTTGGCCGGAGTTAAGGCCGCCTCCCTCCCCTCTCCAGGGAGGAGGAGTACCGCTTCTGGCCCTTTAAGGTCGTCCTACCCGCCCCAGCCCTCCCCACCGCCCAGACCCTTTTTCCGGGCTGGCCCAGCGACCTTCTGTGGGGCTCCGCCCGGCATCAATCAAAGCCCGGCTGCTTAGCAACGGCAGAGGCGGGAATTTTAAACACGCCGGCACCGCCCCCGTTGCAAACAGACCAATCAGCGCTTAGACTCTTCCCTCCTGAGCTGCAGCGTACGCCCTCTCTTCCTATTGGATAGCTAGGCAGCGCCTCCAGCCAGTAGCGACGAAGAGGGGGCGGGACGAGCTCGGCTCCGCCCCCCGTCCGCAGGCGGGCTCGCCCTTCCCCAGGTTGGCGGCCTTTGGTCAGTGAGGTTTGTCGCGACTGAGGCGACGAAAAAGGCGGGAAAACGCCACGAGTGGGCGGTCCTGGGTGGGGCGGGGCGTGGGGGACGGAAGCGGAGCTTTGACAATGACAGCTCGTGCTTGCAGACCTTCCAAAGGGTGGCCCTCCGAGTGTCCCCACTCTACCCGGCCACCCGGGGAGACGTCGCCTCTGAAGCTCCCCCTCATCCCAGGTCCTCAGAATCGCCGAGCCCATGGCTTTCAGAGCCACCCCAGGCCGGACGCCGCCGGGACCCGCACCCGGGATGCCCTCGGCCAGCTTCCCCAGCCCGCAGGCCCCAATGCCCGGGCCTGGAGGTCTCGAGGAAGAGGAGGAGGACGAGGAGCCGGCCGAGGTGTCGGAGGAGCGGGCCGGGAGGACGGGACAATAGGGGATGGCCGAAGCCTGCCCTCCCCAGGGTTCAGATACTGATCTCCTCTCCTCCTCGTGGGGCAGGTCCACCTGTGCGTGCTGTGGAGTTCAGGCTATCTGGGCATTGCTTACTATGACACTAGTGACTCCACTGTCCACTTCATGCCAGACGCCCCAGACCACGAGAGCCTAAAGCTTCTCCAGAGAGGTGGGGACAGAACCCTTGATTCCTCTGCTCTGGGGTTGGAAGCCTGTCCACTCATATGTCCTTATGTGACCTTAATCTACTTTATAGTCACCTGCTTGGGGGAATGAATTATTCAACGCAACTTTATTAGGTTCTTGCTGTATGTTAAATGCTATAGACTCAGTCCCTGGCAAACCATTCATGACTTTAGTGGTTGTTCCAGGACACTCCCATGTCCCTCCCTCCGCCCCTGGAGTATTACTTCTGCACTAAATCTCATTCTAGACTATGCTCCCAGTGTGCAGAGCACTCCCTAACAGACAGAAAATAAATTCTTTTATTTTGGTTTTGGTTTTTTGAGACAGGGTCTTATTTTGTATTCCTGGAACTCACTATGTAGACCAGGCTGATCTCGGACTCAGTGACTGGTTTGCCTGCCCAGGGCTAGGATCAAAGGCATGTGCCACCTTGCCTGGCCGAGAAAATAAATTCCTGAGGGAAACAGTGTCAAGAAGAGAGCTTCTTTCCCCTTTGTCAATGAGGTCCTTTGACTCAGTTGATCCTTTCTCTTTTCAAGTTCTGGATGAAATCAACCCCCAGTCTGTCATTACAAGTGCCAAACAAGATGAGACTATGGCTCGGTTTCTGGGGAAGCTTGGTAAGGGACACGTAAAGATGGGAAATGGAAAAAGACTACTGGACTACTGGAATGTAGTCTTTTTCATCGGGAGGCCAAATTGGCTGAGAGGGAGCGTTGGACAACAGCAGAACTGTCATGTGCAGAACCATGGCCCTTTGCCTCCACAGCCTCCCAGGAACAGAGAGAGCCAAAGAGACCCGAAATTGTACTTTTGCCAAGCGTGGATTTTGGTAGGTCTTTTAATCTTGTCAGACCCATCCCAGGGGCCCTGTCCCTTCTCTTAATCTCACCCCAGTATCAGAGACCTTCCCTGTCTGTTCTTAACCTGCAAACAATTTCCCACACCTGTCACCGTGTCCCCAGATTCTCTCCTGCACCTTGTTATTAATAACCCAACTTACTGAGAAGCTGCTGGCTTAGGTGCCTTTGGACAGAGTGACCAGACTTTCAGCCGCTTGGAGTGCAGGAGTTCCCACTGTAAGCCAAAGGCATTATTGCATAGAAAGGAAAGCCACTGTTTCTGGGATCCTGGTCCATAAGACACTGCAAACTCCCAGGCTTGCAAACAGGACGAGAATGTTCTGTCCTACCAGATATCGGGACTTACTGTTCTTTCCTTTATCATAAGATCTTTCTTTCTTTTTTAAAAGATTTATTTATTTATTATATATAGTGTCCTGTCTGCACATATGCCTGCAGGCCAGAAGAGGATGCTAGATCTCATTACAGATGGTTGTGAGCCACCGTGTGGGTGCTTGGAATTGAACTCAGGACCTCTGGAAGAGCAATCAGTGCTCTTAACCTCTGAGCCATTTCTCCAGCCCCTCATAAGATTTTTCTGACCTAGAAAATGTACACTCCAGACGTCACTTGTCTCTCTCAGGTTGTGCATAGAGCCAGACATCTGTATTACACAAAGATGAAAAGTCAGACTAAGTCTGCATGTCTGCTTCTTGCTCAAGACCTCCGTGGACTTGGGCAGGCTGAATGGTTGCTTCTGTTCTTGTTAAACTGGGATGAGCAAGTGAGTTATCAAACCTTTCGCCCCTTACCCCCACCCTCATAGGTCCAGAGATAAGCAAACAGCGTCTCCTTTCTGGAAACTACTCCTTCATCCCAGAATCCATGACTGCTACTGAGAAAATCCTTTTCCTGTCCTCTATTATTCCCTTTGACTGTGTTCTCACGGTGAGCCGGGTCATTGGGGTGAGGGCTGGGAAGCCACTGAGGGAAGGCATAAGCTCCTAGTCCCAGGCCGCATTCTTGACTGGACTGCCTCAGCCCTGGAAAATGACAGTTTCTCTTGGTATTGGTGTCGTCCAGCTTCTGGAACGTTAGGCTTTATTCGAGCTCCGCTGCCAATTCCTTCCCAGGTCCGGGCACTTGGAGGACTGTTCAAATTCCTGAGTCGAAGAAGAGTTGGGGTCGAACTGGAAGATTACAATGTCAGCGTCCCTATCCTGGGATTTAAGAAATTTGTATTGTAGGTGATTCACCCTAACCTCAACCAAAGTAGAGGGACTGGGGGTCTAAGAAATAAGCCAGGTGCCAGGGATGGGGAAGAGTGGGAGACGCGTGCTGGAACATAGGAGAGGGATGGGGGCAGTGGAGACACGGGAGACACGGGAGAGGGATGGGGGCAGTGGACACATGGGAGACACAGGAGAGGGATGGGGGCAGTGGACACACGGGAGACACGGGAGAGGGATGGGGGCAGTGGAGACACAGGAGAGCCAGGGAGAAGACTGGACAGTACTGACAGAGGAGCCAAGGGAGCAGAGTGTGTAATGAACGACCACGTCTCTGCCACTTGTTGTTGGCTTCTTTTCTGTTCTCAGGACCCATCTGGTGAGCATAGATCAAGACACTTACAGGTGAGGTGGAGACAGACTGCTGCCTCCAGAAACAAAAGGACTGAGCTTAACACTCTAATAATCCTAAGGAGGCTCTAGTTTCTCTCATCCTGGGGCAGTTACATCTCTCTCCTAGGACAGGGTGATGGGGTGGAGAGGGCCAGGAAGGGACTAAAGCCCAAGGCCTCAGTGCTGGGGATGGACCCGAGGGTGCTGCCTGCTGGACAGCCTTCTGCTCCCTGAAGTGATGACTCCAAGCGGTTGTTTCCTCTCTTTTCAGGCGGGGTCTCTCCACACAACCCCGACTGTCGGGAACTCAGTCTGTAGACCAGGCTGGTCCTGAACTCACAGAGTCTTACCTGCCTCTGCCTCCCCAGTGCTGGATTAAAGGTGTGAGCTGCCAAGCCTGGCTTTCATTTTCTCTTCCTAAGGGGAGAAGCTGAGGTAAACACAAAAGTGAGTAATAAACCTCACATCAAGGTTATTATTGCTGCCGGTGTGGTGTGTGCCTCATGCCCGTAGGATTTGCTGGAGGAGACAGAGGCAGCAGGATTGTGAGTTCGAGGCCAGCCTGGGTTACACATATTAAAAAAAAAAGATTATTATTGCCAGGGGTGGTGGTTTGAGCCATTAATCCCAGAACTCAGGAGGCAGAGGCAGGAGGATCTCTGGAAGTTCAAGGCCAGCCTGGTCTACATAGTGAGTTCTAGAACAACCAGGGCTACACAGAGTACACAGAGAAACCCTGTCTTAAAAAAAAAAAGATTACTATTAACTTAAATTGCAGTTTCTCAGTTCCCAGCTCCTTTTGTTATTTAAAAAAAAATCGTTACTGTGCCAGTGAGAACCTGGCTCAGTGAGCAAAAGCTCTGGCTACTCAGGTTTGAAGATCTGAGTTTTATGTAAGTCCTTGGCATCTCTGGCTGCCATCTTAGCCAGGTTCAATGAGAGACCCTGCCTCTAAAGAGAACAAGACAGAGAGAAAGAGGACAGCCACTCCCGTGTCCTCTGGCTTCTGCACATATGTCTGAGAGCATGCATACTTGCACACAAATATGTGTACACAGGCAGCTGTAGTGGCTCACCTTTAATCCCAGCACTGGAAGGCAGAGGCAGGGGGATTTCTACTAGTTCAAGGCCAGCCTAGTCTACATAGTGAGCTCTAGAATAGCCAGGGCTGCATAGAGAGACCCTGTTCAAAAACACAAATAAATATGTACACACATGTGCAGCTGTGTGTAGAATGTACAGGCCGTCCAGACGCCTCATTTCTCTGTGACAGCGTTCTGCAGATCTTCAAGAGTGAGTCTCACCCCTCCGTGTACAAAGTAGCCAGCGGGCTGAAGGAAGGGCTCAGCCTCTTTGGTAGGTGTGCCCTAAAGTTCACCCCACGCTGGGAAAGCCTGCTAGAAAAGTAGTTGACTGGAGATGTGTACAATCTCTTCTCCCTGCTTTCCAACCAGCCCAGGTCTCTCAGCCTGAGCTCCTTTATACCTAGCCAGGTAGTGTAATCTGCATGTTGGCTGTGCCCTATCCAATACTATGTTCAGTCTCCGGCTCTGTATGCTTGTCACTCATGGGGCACCTAGTACCGCTCTGTTCACAGAGGAGCGTTATATAACTGATTTGTATAGTTTTTATCTGGTTCCTCAAGCTTTAGGGTAAATTAAGGACACAGCTCCAAGTGTCCAGTTTCTCACTGGGTTATGTTTAAGTTTTACATATTGTGTTGGATTTTGTGAGCTGTGGCTATGTCCATTTATATATTTTCCTAGCTGAGTATCCATCCCTTTTCTTAACCTCCCATTATAATCCAGGCTGCAATTTGTGGCCAGGCCCTAACTTGGCTGCCTTTGTGTCCTGTATCTGGGCCTCCTTGTAACAAGTTCACCCCTATGCATACCCCGCAGGAATCCTCAACAGATGCCGCTGTAAGTGGGGACAGAAGCTGCTCAGGTGAGTGGGTCTCAGACATGTCTATAAACAAACACACACGGAATACTGAGGCCTGCTAACAGCGCCCACAGGCCATGCAAACACTCTGATTTAGTAGGACTAGAAATAAGAACTGCCCAGCAAAGTAGCTTGTGTTGTCCTCATTTTATGTCAGCACAGATACACACATAGTCATGAATAATATACAGATACACACACATACCTGCAGTAGAAACTTAACCACAAACTACAGATGTATTACAAGATAATTTAACACCATAGCAAAAGCTAAGGGCATGGCTCAGTGGTAGGATACTCAAAGTATGATGCCCCATCCCCAGTCTAGAAAAAAAAAAAGTTAAACAAAGCTAGGCATGCCTCCTCTCCAAATGCCTTCCCTAAACTTACCTGCTGAGAGTGAAGTGCTTGTGGTACGAATGTGAGGTCTGCATCTGGATTCCCAGACTACAGCCCCAGAGCCGGGAGGCAGTAGTCTAGCCAAACCAGTGAGCACAGGTTCAGTGAGAAAAATTGCCTCAAGGGGGCTGGAGAGATGGCTCAGCGGTTAAGAGCATTGCCTGCTCTTCCAAAGGTTCTGAGTTCACATGGTGGCTCACAACCATCTGTAATGAGGTCTGGTGCCCGCAGACATACAGACAGAATATTGTGTACATAATAAAAAAGAAAGAAAGAAAAACTGTCTCAAACAATAAGGTGGCAAGCTAGCAAGACAGCTCAGTAGGTAAAGGTATTCTACATAGACCCTATAGACCCAAGGTAGGGCTCCCAGACCCACACAATAGGCATTCTCTCACCTTCACTCGCTTGCTCTGGTCGGCATGGGACACACATGTAACATACAAAACAAATATCTTTTGTAATAGATGCTTTTCTGAAAAATAAGGTGATGACCAATCAAAGAAGATCCCCAATGCCAATTAGCTTCTTTCATATTCAGATATGCATGTGCATATACCTAACATGCACAGAAACATACATACAAACACACACAAATTGAGCTATTCAAACAGACCATGGTGGCACATTCCCCCCATAATTCCAGCTTTTGTGGGGTTGAGGTAGTAAAATCAATCAAAAATTGGAGGCTAGCCAGGCAGTGGTGGTGCACACCTTTAATCCAAGCACTTGGGAGGCAGAAGCAGGTGGATCTCTGTCAGTTCAAGGCCAGCCTGGTCTACAGAGAGAGTTCCAGGACAGGTTCCAAAGCCACAGAGAAACCCTGTCTCAAAACCCCCGCCCCCAATCACAAGAAAAATAAAGAATTGGAGGCCAGGGATAGAGATGAGTCAGCAGTTACAAGTACTAGCTGCTCTTGTTTGTTTGCTTTTCGAGACAGGGTTTCTCTGTGTAGCCCTGATTGGCTGTGATTAAAGGTTTGCACCACTGGCTGCTCTTGCAGAAGACCTAGGTTTGATTCTCAGCCCCCAAATGGAGGTTCAGAGGTTCACAACTTTTTGTAACTCCAGTTCTAGGGAATCTGAAGCCCCTTTCTGACCTCAGGGGACCAGGCACACATGTAGTGCACAGACCTACATGCAGGCAGAGCACCCATACACATTAAAAAATGGTAAGTAAAAATGTTCTTTAAAAAATTAGATGGAGGCCAGCCTGTACAGTGAGAGACCCTATTCGATAGCAAACAAAACAAAAATTAGCCAAGTACAGTGGTGCACACCTTTAATCGTAGCCCAGGAAGCAGAGACAGAGGATCTCTGTGAGTTTGAGGCCAACCTGGTCTATACAATGAGTTCCCTGACAGCTGGAGCCACATGCTGAGACCTTGTCTCAAAAAACAAAACAGAAATTATTCACCTAGCGCCCACATTTATGTGTAGGATTACATGCGTGGTCTGACAGCTGCATATTGTTGCCACCTGTGGTTTCCATAGACACTGCAGCTCAGAACATCCGACGTCTTCCTGCCATGTTTTTCCAGTTAATGGCATTGCTGGCAGTGTAACATCTCAAGATAGGCACCTTGGATTGATGCTTTCCCTCATCCTCCATATTCAATTATTCACTGGTGTCTCTTGTCTCTATCCTGAAATCTCTTAGCCATCCTTCCTCCCTCTTTACAGTCTAATTCTAGCTATCCGGATGTTAATCAGAAGCATTGCATTTACCTCCAAAATGGTCCCTGCCTCTGGTCTCTTTCTCCAAATGAGCCGTTCATTCTAAACCACAGGCCGTCCTGACCCAGAGATCTGGGCATGTTCACTTCTTAAAAAGTTTTAAGTAGAAACAAGGATGCCTCCCTGTCACAGGGAAAGCTTAGTATATGTAGTGGTGTGATCTTGTAGTGTGTAGTGTAGGGTCTCTTCCTGAGTTTCCTTTCTGTTGCTGTGGCAACATATTTGATCAGAGGTAACTTAAGGGTGAAAGGGTTTATTTGCTCACGGTTCCAGGTCCCATCATCGTGGGAAGTCACATTATAACTGCAGTTAAAGCAGAGAGAAGTGTGTGTGAAGTCACATTATATCTGCAATTAAAGCAGAGAGCAGTGAATAAGAGCAAGGATTCTTGTGTGCATGCCAGTGTCTACTAGGTTTCTCCTTCTCATTCAGTCTAAGATCCTAAGCCCAGGGAACAGGGCTGCTCACATTCTCCACATCAGTGTGTAGCACGAATAATAAAAACCCAGGCACAGATATTGGGGTTCAAGCTGAACATCAGAAAAGCAAAGCAGCCAACCACTAGAGAGACCTTTTACCTCTACCAAATCTTCAGAGCTAAAGGGCGAGATTCTGTCTCCACAAATCTTCAGACCCCACGCTCCAGTGAGTTCCCGTCTCTTCCCCTTTATATTCCTCTCTCCTCCCAGCTATATCACTTTTGTCTCCACCTCCCTAGTGCTGGGATTTAAGGTGTGAGCCACTACCACCTGGATATGTTTCTGGATTTATCTTGTGTAACCCTGGTGCTGGCCTGAGTCCTGGGATTAAGGTGTGTGCCACCACTGCCTGACCTGTATGGCTGACTAGTGTGACTGTTTTGCCCTCTGATCTTCAGGCAAGCTTTATTTATTAAAGCACAAATAATATACCACTGTGTGTGTGTGTGTGTGTGTGTGTGTGTGTGTGTGTGTGTGTGTATATATATTATATACCACTGTATATAATGGATATGATTAAGATAATCCCTCATAGGCATTCTCAGAAGTGATTCTAGACTGTATCAAATTGACAATTAAAACCAATCATCGCACCCCTGCTCACCTTGGTTTTAATTCTCAGATTCACATCTCCATATTCCTCATGAATCCTTTTCTGCTAGCTCTACCCTGTATTCTAGTCATCCCTGTCAACATTTACACTCTGGCTTTTTTGGTGACACTTTCACAGGTGCACATAAGAGGTGGGTGTGCACCCTCCTTGTACTCATGTGGTCCAGCGTCCTTTCACACCAGGTGAGAATTCTTAGTGAACCAGTTGCCTTATACTTGTGAATTCCTGTTGCCTGTGTCTGGCATATGACTTTGTGGGTAGAATATTCAGTGAGTGTGCACAGAACGAGAACTCAAGCATACTAGCGGCATCGCCTCCAGAACCTCAGAATACATACAAACCTTTGCTAGCAGACAGGCTTAGGGCTGGTCCTTTCCCCACGTGCTCCACTACAGCACATTCCTTCTGGGGACTGACTGAGGATGATCTCTGAGTAACATAATCACCCACACATTCTTTAATGCTTCAGATGTAAATCCTGAGTTCCAAGCAGGGATGGGAGTGAAAAGTGGGGGTCTTAGAAGATTTGCTGGAAATGTGGTCTCACTATGCACTCCAGACCAGTCTGAAACTTGCTAGAAAGGCCCAGGTGGCCTTCTTGTGATGATCCTCCTGTCTGCCTCCTGGATGCTGGAATTACAGGAATAGATGAGCATGCCTAGGAGGAAGAGACTTTCCCATGGAGAAGAGAATTATGCTAAAGATGGAGAGAACCAGGCATGGGGAAATTCCTATAATCTCAGCACTCAGAAAGGGTGGGGCTGGAGGTAATACAAGTTTGAGGCCTTGGCTACATGGCAAGATCATCCTGTATGTGTGTGTGTGCATGCGTGCGTGTATCTCGAGGCATAGTAGCACACACCTGTAACACTTGCTTGGGGGGTGTGACTTTGTTTTTTAAGAAGGTTGTGTGTGTGTGGCTCATCACTTACTGCTCTTCTAAAGAATCCTTGTTCAGGTTCCAGCGCCCATGCCAGGCTGCTCACAATTGCATGGAACTGCATGGAACTCCAGTTCCAAGGTACGAGACCCTCTGACCTCTAAGACACGTACTTGCACATCCATTGCACATACTCACACAGACTTAAACATATACACAAAAAATTTTTTTGTTCTATTTTTTTCAAGACAAGGTTACTCTATGTAGCCCTGGCTGTCCTGGAACTCACTCTGTAGATCAAGCTGACCTCAAACTTAGAGATCTGCCTGTCTCTGTCTCTTTTGGGTTTAAAGAAATATGCCATCATCGCCCAGCTAATACATGTAAATTTTTTAAAGGGGAGGTATTAGAGTAAGGACTAGGAATGTGTACCAGGCTTTTTCTCTTGGGCCACCAACCAGCTCCCAAATCTGAGACTTATTTTTAGTTTTGACTGCTCGACCTAGCTTAGACACATTTCTGGCTAGCTCTTTTAAATTAACCTGTTTCTCTTCACCTTTTACCTTGGGGCTTATCACCTTTCTTATTTCTGTATATATTATTCTCACTGCTTCTGTATGCCTGGCTGGTTGGCATCTGCCTGGCTTCTTGCCCCAGGCATGTTCCTTATTCTCTTCTTTTTCCTCCTCTTTTCTTTCTTTCTGAGCCTAGATTTCTCCTCCTATTTATTTTCTCTGCCTGGCAGCACTGCCTGTCCCCCTCCTTCCTAGTTATTGGCTGTTCAGTTTTTTTACTGAACCAATCAGGTACCTTAGGCAGTCAAGGCAAAACAGATGCAACACATCTTTACATAATTAACACACATCCTTACATCATTAAACAAATGCAGCATAAACAAAACTAACACAACTTTACACAGTTAAAGTAATATTCTGCAGGATAAACAAAAGTAACACTTCTTTGTCTAGCTAAAATCATACTCTACAACAGGAATGTAGCCCACCTGGTAGTGTGTTTTCCTGGGTTCCTTCCCCAGCATCACATAACACAGAAGGTAGAAGGAAGAAGATCAGAAGTTCGAGATTATCCTCTGCTCATGAGTGAAAACAAATATGAGGCAGATGAGAGCTGCAAATACAGATTTCCACATGGGACCCTCAAGGCAGCCACCGAGTGCTGAAGTACAGGCTGCAGCGGCTCCCAGCCGACAGGGTACCGCAGTCTGACACCCACATGCACTTCTCATTAGTACTCAGTCCTCACTTCCTCGGCTGTAAAATTAGGGTCACTAACAGAACATGAGTCTGGTAAACCTGGTGTTCTAGAAGAAAGTCCGCTAGGTGAGTCTCGGGCTCTACAGAGCGGGGACAGAGCTCCCTGGTCCAGTCTACACTGCTGTGGCCCAAGCGCTCTTTTCCATGGAGAAGATCGGGGATGGCCAAAACCCACCCTTGAACTGAAACATATCTTTGGTTTTCTTCTAACTTGGGGTGTTCTGATTGAACATAACTGGCTGTGGGCTAAGTGTGAGGTAAGCATCCTCAGGCCCATGTCTCCACTCGCTGGCTCTCAGATAGCATAAGTAATGGCTTGCTATTACGTAGAAAAGAACCCCAGGCTAAAGTTCTTACAGAATTAAATCCCACACCCAGAATTAAACAAATTCAGATGAGACATTACTGCTGTATAGTAATTTATTTTAACTTGGCAACAAAAGATGTGATGATGTCTGTACACACTAGTCATTTATGAATCAGACCTGCTGAAACACCTTCAACATCTCTACAAGTCCTTCCTCTTCTAAGAAAACTGTGAGATGACTTGGACATGGTGATTATGTTTAATCTTACCAGAGGCAGAGGCAGGAAGATCTCTATGAGCTCTAGACCAGCCAAGGCTACATAGTGAGACCTTGTCTCTAAACAAGAAGAACAAAGGAACTGCAAACTAAGTAAAGTAGACTGAGGTGTTAGCTCAGTGGACAGAGGCACTTGTCACTACGCTTGATGATCTGAGTTCAATTCCCATATCATAGCAAGTCTTTTTCTGTCCTGCCAGCTAGATTCCAAATAACGGCACAGAGAAGCTTCATTAATTATGAAAGCTTGGGCTAAGCTGGGCAGTGGTGGCATAGCCTTTAATGTCAATACTCAGGAGGCAGAGGCAGGTAGATCCCTGTGAGTTTGTAGCCAGCCTCGTTTACAAGAGCTAGTTCTAGGACAGCTAGGGCTGTTACACAGAGAAACCCTGTCAGGAAGAAAAGAGAACAGTAGGCTTGGCCTTGACTTAGGCTTGTTTTTAGCTAACTCATTAATCCACATTCTGTCATGTACCACTCATCCTGCTTCTCCACATATCCTGCCTAGCTATTGACTGGTCAGCATTTTAGTGCACCAATCACAGCAATGCAATACACCTTCACACAGTGTGCAAATATTCCACATCACATGATAGAAGAAGAAAACCAATTCATACAAGTTGTCCTCTGTCCTCTACATGTGCACCATGGCACATACATGTTCTCTCTCTCTCTCTCTCTCTCTCTCTCTCTCACACACACACACACACACACACACACAATTTTAAATGTAATTTTTTTCAAAGAAAATTCAAGGACTAGCTTTCACATTGATAAGCTCACAGACACATGAACTCCAGTTCCAGGGGATCTGTCTTCCCTTTTTGGGCTCCTTTTTTGTTTTGTTTTGTTTTTGTTTTTGTTTTTGTTTTTTGAGACAAGGTTTCTCAGCAGCTTGGCACCTGTCCTGTAACTAGCTATTGTAGACCAGGCTGGCCTTGAACTCACAGAGATCCACCTATCTCTGCCTCCCAAGTGCTAGGATTAAAGGTGTGTGCCACCACCGTCCTCCTTTTGGGGCTCCTTAAGCGCACACACACACATACACACACACTTTTACAAAAAGAAGGAAGAAAAAAAAAAGGAATTGCAGGCTAGGGACTGGTCAGACAGCTCAACAGGTAAAGGTGCTTTCTGCATAAGTCTAGTAACCTGAACCTACATAGAGGTGGGACAGAATCAGCTCCAGAGTTATCCTCTGATTTCCCGGGTGTCATGACATTCCTGTCCACACACACACACACACACACACACACTCATAATACATGCGCACACAAAGAATAGCAGACTGGGCAGTGGTCTGGTGGCACACAAGTGTAATTCCAGCACTTAGGAAGTATAAGCTAGAGGACCAGGACTTCCAGGTCAGTCTTGGCCGTATAGCAAGTTTGAGACCAGTCTGAGCTATGTGAAAACTGTCTCAAAAAATTGATAGATAGATAGATAGATAGATAGATAGATAGATAGATAGATAGAT